TAATCGATTGGTTTTAGAAATGTCTCATATGAAAGCTAAAACCCTCCCAAATTATGTTCAATATACTAAAATAAATTTGCTTCACTGAAGAAAGATTGATCATTTAATGAACACAGAAAGGTCAGATTTTGGCAAGACAAATGTTTTGTCGCCTACAGAAAATTGAACAAATAATTTACTTCAAATACAAAAATATGTTGCATAACGTATGAATGAAGTAGTGGTGCTGTGAGATCCATATTTAATATCTTGTATGACGTCCATGAGCTTGAAGGACGCATCCATGTGGTTCGACAATGATTCATACAATTTGTTGATGAAGTCATCAGGAATAGCAAAGAAAGCGTCTTACATGCCTCCCAGAGTTCATCAAGATTCTTTGGTTTTGTCTTCCATGCTTCCTCTTTCATTCTACCCCAGACATGCTCAATGATGTTCATGTCTGGTGACTGGGCTGGCCAGTCCTGGAGCACCTTGATCTTCTTCGCCTTGAGAAACTTTGATGTAGAGATAGAAGTATGCGATGGAGCACCATCCTGCTGCAAAATTTGACCCCTTTTATGGTTGGGAATGTAAGAGGAGCTAATACTTCTTGATATTTTAAGTTATTAATATTGCCTTCCACCCTGCAAATGTCTCCCACACCCCCATACTGGATGGAACCCCAGACCACGATTTTTCTGCCACCAAACTTAACTGTTTTCTGGGTGAATCTTGGATCCATGCGGCTCCAGTAGGTCTCCTGCAATATTTGCGGCGGCTGTGATGTAATTCAACCGAGGATTCATCTGAGAAATCCACCTTCTGCCACTTTTCCAGTGTCCATCCTTTTAGCAGGCTGTGGGCCTTGGCAAATGCCACACGGTTTTTTAATTGCCTTTTGTTTAGTGCTGTTTCTGTGCACTGATTCGACCATGGAGGCCATTTCGAGACAGAATTCTACAAACTGTTGTGGTTGACACAGGGACTTGAGGTGACCAGGCCTGGTGGAGTCTGCTGCAGTGGAAAAGGGGCTGGCCTTGGATTTTCAAATCAAAAAACGGTCCTCCCGAGCAGTTGTCTTGTGGGGTCTGCTGGACCTGGGCTTGTCAAAAACATCTCCAGTCATTTCAGATCTTTTTCTTCTTCTTTGTACTTGACGCTGAGACACATTGAAGGTGTCACCACCTCAGCAGTGGATCTGGTCTTCAGCCTCTTGATAATTAACGCTTTGGTCTCAGGGTGGATCTTAGGCATGTTGTCAGAGGTCAAGTTGCAGTTGATGTGAAGGTCTGGTGTGTTGGGGGTTCTTTTTATACACACCCACTAATTGATTGATCAGTAACTGATCACAGGTGAGGCTGTAATCTAGGATTGGGTGCATCATATGACAAGGCGACAAGACTTTTGTCTTGCCAAAATCTGACCTTTCTGTGTTCATTAAATGATCAATCTTTCTTCAGTGAAGCAAATTTATTTTAGTATATTGTGCATAATTTGGGAGGAGTTTTAGGTTTCATATGAGACATTTCTAAAACCAATCAATTAATTTAAAGTCAGGTTATAAGCTTTTGTTTCTACAAAATGGATAAGCGACAAGACTTTTGTCAGGGACTGTATAAGACTTCACAGGTAAAGGGAGGTCAGTGTGTAGGACCTCGTCCATAATGTTCTTCAAATCTTTCCAATAACATTGTATTAGGGGACATGTCCAGAAAATATGTATATGGCTGCCACCATTTCCCCGCACTGTCTCCAACATCTTGTGTTTCGATATTTTGTCTGAGCTGGTGCTCTGAAAAATCTCACCAGATTTTTCCACCCATATTCCCTCCACATTAAGGATGATGTTGTTTTCCAAATATTTTGAGTAATCTCTTCCCAGTCTTCTTCTGTTAGGCTAATATTAGTTTCCACATTCCATTTCCTTTTTATGTATTGCGTATCATCCCTTTTAAAATTTTCCAACCCAATATATATCTTTGAAATCTTTTTCTACTTGGTTTAGATTTGTGAGCTAATATAATCAAATTAATCATTTCTGGTTCTCCTTCAAAGTTATCCCTTATTTTGTCATGCTCCAAATGCCTTAATTGTAAGAATTTGTAGAAATTTTGATTTGATAGCCTGAAATGTTCTTTGATCTCTTGAAAACCTTTGCATTTATTGTTCATCAATAATTCCCACCACATACGTGGACCGTGTTCCCATGTTTTAAATCGCTGATCATTCCTATTGGGTATAAAATCTGAATCGTATCCCACCCATCTTAACAACTTACTAAACTGTATGAAGTTATTATTTGTAGCTATCTCAAACCATACTTTCAATGAAATTTTAACAAATTGATAAATTTTACCACAAAATTTATTGTATAGTTTGTTATCCCCAATTAGTGCTTTAACGGGTATTCCCTGTATTTTATTGCTTTCAATTTCTTTCCATCTTGCACAATATGATGGGTTACTCAAATTTACCAGATGTTTCATTTGAGTTGCCTGGTAATAACTTTTAAACAGTGTAGAGCTAATCAGTTGTCAATAGACAATTGTAGTGTTCTGTATTTTATTCTTGTTATTTTCCCTTGACAAATATACCTTGAGATAAATTTATCCCATTCACTGAATTCATTGTTTGTTATCTCCACTGGCAAAGTCTGAAAAAGGTAAAATCAGGGAAGAATATTAATTTTTATCACTTCAACTTGAAGCAACTGTCGTCAATGGTATTAAGTTCCACCTCTCAACATCTTGTTTTATTTTGAATAATACTGGCTCGAAATTGGCTGCTTTCAGTTGACTCAAATCTTTTGTCAGATTTACACCTAGATATTTTATTAATTTTAAATCCCAATTAATTTCATGAGTAGTTTTTATATTGTCAGCGGGGTTGTAATTAAAAGTAAAAACCTGCGTTTTTTGTATATTTATTTTGTACCCTGATAATTGTCCAAATTTGTCAAATTCTGACATAATTGCTGGTAATGATGTATTAGGATTAGATATATCAAAACATCATCAGCAAACAGTGCAAGCTTTTGCACTGTGCCCATCATATCTATATCCTGTATTTTCTCATTTTTTATTGACTTGCTAAGGGATTCAAGATATATAGCGAACAAGAGGGGGCTAACTGAACAGCCCTGCCTACATCCATGGTTTAATACAATATTATTAGAAAGACTCCCATTGACCCTTACCCTTGCTGTTGGCTCTTCTCCTATTCATATTACAGAAACCCTTGGTAAAGTTTAATCTTGAATTTAGTAAAATTCGAAAATAATTTGGTCTTCAAGGGGTTTTTGACTTTTAGTTGGAGAGCTGACCCACTACACAGCTGCCATGTCTGTGTCTCAACTGGAAGTCTGTAACTGAAGACTTTTAATATAATAATAATTATTTCTTTGAGCGTCAGTCAAAATCTTTTAAAGAGAAATATTTTATTTCTTTTTTAAGGTAAGTACATTTATTCCCTTTTCCTTAGTATCACGATTGTCACATTGAGATAAAGTTACATTCAAACAGACACAACTCGGAGGCTGTTTTATAATTCTTGTTGTTTTGTTATTTTTAAAATCATGTGGAGTGGGACAGACTCATCTGTTTATGTTTTATTTACATTTTTACTATTTAGGAAAGATGGATGGAAAGAATCGTTATATCATAAAGGAGTCAAAGAGGTTCACCAGAGAGCGCTCTTCTCGGATCCACCACAGACACAGAGGAAAATTCCTTCCACACTCCAAACCCAGGAAAGAGAGGCTCAGTGAAGGAGGAGCTGACAGTGTGGAGGTGGCGCAATTTTGCACCAGAGCTGCCCTTATAGAAGGACAGAGATCCAGCCTCAGAGTCCAGGAACACAGACACTCGACCTGAGGAACGGACGGAGGAGGAAAATACTGTTTCTGTGTTGTTGTGACAGAAACAGTAAAGTCCATTATAGATCCTCAGACTCCAGGACTGATCATTGCATCCAAACCTACAGTCCTCACTCTCTCCTCTCCGTCTTATTCCTCTGTAACTCACTGAAATATCAACCCATCCGCTCCAGTCCACCTCCCAGTAACAGCGCCCCCTCAGGTCAGTGCAGCTCAGGACCTGGCACCTGTCTATAAATCTGTCCTCATGATCTGGATACTGCTGTTTCTCTCTCACAAAGGTCACTGTTGTTTGTCCTCAGACAGTTTGATGTTTCTGTGAGCTGTGTTTGGATCCAGAGAAAACTCACAGGAATCTGAGGACACAAACACATGAGATCACTTCCTGTTCCTGAAAATGTGAAAAGTTATTTGTTTTCTTAATATTGTAAGCTGTAATAATAAGAGAGAGAGAAAAAAATGTTCCAGCCATTATGCATGTAGCCTATATTTGGTGAGTGTAAGAGTATTTTTTGAATGAATGTGTGTGTCATGAGTGGGTGTGGCATGTGTGCGTGTGTATATGGGTGGGCTCAGTTGGGCAGTGTTTGGGACTGGGTGAGCAGACAGTTTTTAACCACGCTAAGACATGCGGCTCCTTGTTCTTGATGTAGTTATTGTAATCAATAAAGTTTATCAATCAAACATCCTGGGAGATTATGCGTCAATTATAAACACCCAGTTAAAATGGCATGAAGTAACTTTAGTCAATACAGTCATGTCTCAAGCTCTTATATCGTCTTCTATCATCTATTATCGTTTAAATCTCTTGATAAAACCCACTTTTATCATCACATCATTTATGTGTTTTATATGTTTTGTGATTAATACATATTTGTAGCTCAAATTAATCACACATGTTTCCTGTAAAACTGTGAAGGTTTATAAAGTGACATAATGTTAATGTTCCCATGAACTGAATGAAATACAGAGACTCACACTTCCTCAGACCTGGGACCATCCACTGTTCTCCAGCAGGATCCAACCTGAAACACACAAGTCCAGTTTAGACCAGACCAGAGACCAGGATCTGGACCGACCATGGACCAGAGACCCACTGAACCAGGACCCTCACCTGAGAGACTGCAGGGGGCAGTGGGGGTCGTCCCGTAGAGCGGTCAGGAGCTCTGCTGAGGGTCCTGGATGGTTGTAGCTGAGGTCTAACTCTCTCAGGTGGGAGGAGGCGGAGCTCAGAGCTGAGGCCAGAGCAGCCCCGCCCCTCTCTGAGACCAGACATCCAGACAGCCTAAAGACACAGAATTACACTCATGTGGACACAAGGGGGCAGAGTGCATCATGGGAGCGTCTCACCTGAGAGTCTCCAGTCTGCAGGGGGCGCTCTTCAGTCCAGAACACAGCAGCTCCACTCCTGAGTCCTGGAGGTCGTTGTTAGTGAGATCCAGATGTGTGAGACTGGAGGAGCTGAGGACTGAGGCCAGAGGAGCACAGCTGTGAGGAGACAGACCACAGCCACAAAGACTGAGGACAGAGAGGGACATTAGAGACTAGAACCTCCACACAAGAGTTTAAATACAGTCTGGACTCACAGGACTTTGGTGGAGGCTCTGACCACTGGCAGCAGATTCAGGAGAGCTGTCTCTGAGGCCTGGTATTTCCTCAGATCAAACTCCTCCAGATCTGAGTCTGAGGACAGTAAGAGGAAGGACAGAGCCGACAACTGAGCAGGAGATCTTAACAAGGAGAGTTGTCCTTTTCTCATGTTCTCCTGTATTTCCTGCACCAAACTGTGGTCGTTCAGTTCGTTCAGACAGTGGAGCAGGTTCAGGCTCCTCTCTGCAGACAGACCCTTTTCATTCAGCTTCCGTTTGATGTGCTTCAGTGTCTTCTGATTGGTCTGTGAGCCACTTCTTGTCTGAGTCAGCAGACCCTGCAGCAGCCTCTGATTGGTCGGCAGAGACAGCCCCAGGAGGAAGCGCAGGAACAGGTCCAGGTGTCCGTTTGGACTCTGTAAGGCCTGGTACACAGCAGAGCGGTAGAAACCTGCCACAGACTCAGGACTTTCAGAGGAGTGTGGTGTCTTCAGCAGATTCTCTCCAGAGCTGAAAAAGATTTGATGGACATGAAGAGCAGCCAGAAACTCCTGCACACTCAGATGGATGAAGCAGTAGACCTTGTCTTGGTACAGGCCTGGCTCCTCTCTAAAGATCTGTGTGAACACTCCGGAGTACACTGAGGCCGCTGCAGCGTCCAGCCCACACTCGCTCAGGTCACTCTCGTAGAAGATCAGGTTTCCTTTCTGCAGCTGCTCAAAGGCCAGTTTTCCCAGAGACTTCACCATCTCCCTGGTCTCTGGAATCCAGTGAAGGTCCTCCCCTGATCCCTGGTGATACTTGATGTTCTGGACTTTGGCCTGCACCACCAGGAAGTGGACATACATCTGTGTGAGAGTCCGGGGCAGCTCTGGTTCTGTTTGTTCCAGAAGTTTCTGTAGAACTGTGGAGAGGATCCAGCAGAAGATCGGGATGTGGCTCATGATGTGGAGGCTGCGGATGCTCTTGATGTGGGGGATGACTTTTTTGGCCTGGTCTCTGAACCTCTTCCTGAAGTACTGCTCCTTCTGTGGGTCGGTGAACCCTCTGACCTCTGTCACCATGGAGACGCACTCAGCAGGGATCTGATTGGCCGCGGCGGGGCGCGTGGTTATCCAGAGGAGAGCGGAGGGAAGCAGGCTCCCCCTGATGAGGTTCACCAGCAGCACGTGCACTGAGGTGGACTCTGTGGGGTCGGTCAGGACTCTGGTTCGGCTGAAGTCCAGAGGAAGTCTGCACTCGTCCAGACCGTCAAAGATGAAGAGCACCTGGAGCTGTTGGAAGCTGCAGAGATGTTTGGATGGACTGAAGAAGTGGTGCAGCAGCTCCACCAGGCTGAACTGTGTGTCTCTGAGCACATTGAGCTCTCTGAAAGTGAACGGGAACAGCAGCTGGAGGTCCTGGTGGGCCCGGCCTTCAGCCCAGTCCAGACTGAACTTCTGAGTCAGCACTGTTTTCCCCACGCCGGCCACGCCCTTCGTCAGCACCAATCTGATTGGCTGTGGTGAATGTGGGCGGGGTTTAAAGAGCTCTTCACATGTGATGGTCTCTGGAGCGGCCGGTCTCCTGGACGCCGTCTCCATGAGTCTGACCTCATGTTCCTGGTTGACCTCTGAGGCTCCGCCCTCTGTGATGTGGAGCTCTGTGTAGATCTGGGTCAGGGGGGCGGAGTCTCCTGCTTTAGCCACGCCCTCAAACACATGACTGAACCTCTGCTGCAGATGCCTCTTCAGTTTATCTCTACAAATTATACAGTGTTTCCTGAATAAAGACACAAAAAACTGTCAACTCAAGCTCCTTCTGAAAACTTCTTCTTCACTTTATCTTAAAAGGATCCCCAGCTACTTTGATATGCTGGTCTTAGATGATTAGCACTGGCGTCAGTTATAAATACGTAACACCAAACAAGTCAAATATGTTCATTTGTAGTATCTCGTGCAGTAATACGAACAGAGAGAAAATAGCGCCAAGTGATTATGAGGTCTGACATTCGTTGACAAAGGTTTTGTGATGCAAATGTATCACTCTTTTGAACACATATTGTTTTGAGAAGAAAAACGCTTTATTTTCGTGACCCCAGCCAACTTGCCGGACTACTTTCGATAGCACCAAAACCAGCCAGGATCTCAGCTCACCGGACACTGTTAGGGGTAAGTCAGTGTGGATGCACAACACTGCTGAGGGGTATGCCATAAAGATTCATGTTAAAAAACCCAAACTATCCTTTTAACATCATGGCTTCACACTGAGTAACAACTCAGTGTATTTGTTGTCATTTTTTGCGGATCACTTTCTCATATTAGATTAAAACAAAGTTCAACCCATGATTAGTGTTATTTGAGTAACAACATTACACCTTCTTTGCCTTCAGAATAATTTTCTCTAGAATTAGACACCTAGGCAAACAGATGTATCATGCTGTTCTATGTTGTCATTTTGTGGGTTTAGCCTTTTTGTGTGTTCATGTAGGAATACTGATGGAAATGATCTTTTTAAACACATGTGAGCACAGAGGGCTGCTCTGACACTGATCAATTGTTATTAGACCCTAATAGCACCATCTATTGGATTACTTGTGCAAGGCCATCTACTGTTTAAAGATTGTCACTGCAGATTATCCATACAAACTGTATACAAATGTTGGGCAATTCTTACTTGTTGGTTTTGTATTTATTTATTTATTTAATTATTTTTTTTATGTTATTAAGGACATCACAATTGCATTAGGCAAGCCAGATGCATTGCTTTGAGTGTTTTAGCACAAGTGCTAGTTTTCAACACCTGTCCATATAAAAAAATATAAAGTACATGCATAAAAACAGGCAATACAAGACACATAAATTACATACAGATAAAATATATGCAGTACATTTTCAATGGACAATTTAATTTACTTTTAAATTTATTGTTGTTGGTTTTCAATTTTAAATTAGCTGGTAAACCGTTCCACAGACTGGCCGCTTTAAAAGAGAAGGTGTTTTCTCTGTGAACATTTTATGGTCCTGGCAAATTCTGAATATAGTGGTGTATCGCAGTTAAGACACTTAAAAAGGAATTTAAGATTAAAATTAAAATTGGTGAAAATGTTCAAAGTTAAAAAGTTTATATTGCTTTAAAATGTCACAGTGGTGCCAGTGTCTGGGCTTTTTGTCAAGGACCTTAAGGGTCAGTTTGTAAAATGTACAGAAGTTTCAGTTTGTTTGAGGAGGCCAGGGACCAGGAGGTGATACAATAAGACAGATGAGAGAAGGTCATTGTGTTCATGAATAGTTTAGAAGTGTGGAGAGTTAGAGCTTTACATACGAAATAAAAGCAATTGAAACTAGTTTTAATCTTTTTCGTAGTATAGTATTTTGTGTGACCGATAAATTTGGAATTTTTGTCCAGAATAAGGCCAAGGTATTTAACTTCACTGACAGTATTTTCTCATTGTGGATAATCACCTCAAAGTCACAGTTTTTTTGTTTGTGTGCGCACTAAAAAACAAAGTCAAGTGTGACTGTAAATGATCTCATGTATTTTCTGTACTTCTGCTACTTTTGTTTGTAAGTATTGTAATACGTTTGTTCCATGCTTTTATTTTGAAAGGCCGCTGTACAACCGGAAGCGGCCACGTGAGAGCGGATGTTTACCTCCCGGCTAACAGTCTGTGCGGTTAACTAACTGAGCACAACGGAAAATTTAGTTTATTTAATCTAAAAGTTACGGAACCTGTATTTTAAGTTAATATATGGTCTACCCCAGGTTAGCACCTGGTTGATGTGGGAACAAGGTTAGTAAGGAATACGTTGAGCCGTTACAATTCTCTGTTATAATTTAATCCACTAGATGGCGCCAGTGCGCTTCGCCTAAGCAATGTTACGCGCAGTTTGACAATTTTAATGTGTATTTTTTTTGTTCAATACAGATTAATAGCAAGGTTCAGGTTTTATAAGATTTGTTGTTGGTAAACAGTAATTGTCAGGTTGTCATATATGGTTAAAAGGAGTAAAAGGTACACTGTTTTTTGTAGCTCTTACGGTGTGTTCACAAACAAGGCCCAAAAATAAAAGTTGTGAACCATCAGTCTATGAGACCGTTATTTCAACCGGGATGCTACAGTGACACTAAGCCATTTTGAGACCTGCTGTAAGGCATGACTCAGATGTTCATCTGCCTGAGCTGGTGTTTTAGCAGATACATACATCACAGTGTCATCAGCATACATTTGAACATTAACAGTAGGACAGCATTGAGGGAGGTCATTAATATATATGGAAAAAAGCAGGGGGCCAAGTACAGATGCCTGTGGCACTCCAAAGGGATTGGCTAGTAGTTGGGATGGAGCCCCATTTACCTGAACTGACTGAGTTCTCCCTTTAATATATGATGAGAACCATTTAATAGTGTCTTTTGCAAAATTGAACTGATGTAATTTTTCCAATAAAGTATTATGATTGCTCGTTTCAAAGGCCTTTTTAAGGTCAAGAAACACTGCCCCAACTACATTACCTTGTAAACTCTGCATAAGATAAATTATGATAAAAAAAATATAAAAACAAGTGTGACAGAGCAGACTCGTCCCTAAGAACCTTATCCACTGGGCTCCACGCACCAAACCAGTTCTCACCAAACCACCTTTTGCCGTGACTAAGGGTGCACACATAGAAGCGTGTGTTCTGTTCATCAGAATCATGCTAGAACAGTTCATTCACTTATCCTCGCGCCGCCGCCTTCTCCCTCCTGCCGTGGTGTGTTCTGGCAAACCCGGACACATCCGCACCAATAGTTTAAATCCTTCCGTTGCGCAGGTGATCATGTGAGCCACAACTCATTTGCATATGCAGTTAATCTTATGATCTGACTATCTGAACTGTTCAATGTGACTTATTCATTTTATAAGCCAGGTATTGTTTGTATAAAACTTTTGATACATGAAACATTAGCCATTTAATTGTGGAAATGGTGTAAATATGTTTTGTTGGGAGATTATGTAATGTGGGAGGGGCAAATGGGGGTATATAGTTGCGCTCTGCATCTCCGCTATCAGTTTTGACCAGGTTACAGTGGAGGTAACAAGCACTGAGGGAGCAAGAGAAAGTGAACAGCTGATTGATTTAAAGGAGAAGTCTAACAAAAAAAATATTTTTGTTTGTTTGCCTCAAAAATTTAACTTTTACCACTGAACCACTGTAAATATTTTTCACACACGTTTGGCACCTTTTTTTTGCACTGTTGGAGAACACAATAAAGCACCCAAATACGCACATCTTGACTACGCCTGAGTTTCTGGAAAAATCCCGCCACAACAAGACCAACCAGTGCATAATTACATTGCTGATGTGACATCACCAGCCTTGGAAACTTAAATCTATTCATTCTGATTGTGCATTGCATTTCCCAGGTACCTACCACAGGGGACTCCTTTTGACACTTTTCAAGTGGCTGTCTCAATGGTGGTGACTACCATTTTGAACTGCCTTGTGGGAGGAGTTTAGCTGCCTCCCCACTGAAGAATGGAGGCCATGGATGAATATCGACAACGTGGACATTCAGGCTCTACTTCACAACTTCAAGTGAGCTTCAAGGAGAGACATACATGCAGGGATGGGCCTAGCTCCTGCAGATGACTGCTTATTTTGTGTCCGGTCGTCCTCAGCCTCTGAGGGAAACCTCCTGATCCTACTTTACAGTGCAGGAGCAGACACGTGACACTGTCCACTGAATCAAAGGACTAATGCACAACACCTGTTTGAAGATTTTACTTGAGCATAATTATTCACAAAGAAGTTCTTTGCACTGTAGCTAAAATAAAGAGGTGTTGTTTCTATCTCTGTATCTCTATATCTGTTCCAAGCATTTACTGGCCATACGCACACACATTTACATCACTTTAGGTGCATTGTGTAACTTTAAAGGTGGAGGATCTGTCTTCAGATTTTTTTTTTCCTTGGAGACTTTTTTGCTTTTGCCTGAAATGTTCCACGGTAGGATTAATCTTATCCAGGGGTATCAAACATACGGCCCGGGGGCCGGATCTGGTCCTCCAAGACCTTTTAATCCAGCCCTTGGCTGATTTTCTACTAAAATATTTTAATTTTGTTTTCTATTAAAATATTGTTAATTTTCTGCGTCACTTAACATAGCAGCGTCTCCAGCGTCTCTGTACGTGGCCCCTCCCACCAGAGCAGCACAAATGAAGACTTGTCTCTTTCCAAACGCTCTTAAAGGACGATCGTTTTGACTGTTGACCGTGACACCCTCATCAACAAAATGTCCAACATGAGAAAAGTGGAGCCGAGTGCAGGATTTTCCAAGAAAAATTTACTTATTCCTGTTTATACAAGTTCATGTTAAAACTTTGTGTTGAAATTGTATTTTTCTTAAAGTTTCAGGTTGTTCATAATATTATAATATTTTGTAAAAGAAAGGTTTGCGTTTCTCTGCACAAATATTTGAACTTATTATTTTTGGGGTATATATGCCATGAGTTTTCTGATCTGGCCCCTTTGGGATCAGAGGTTATTTGTCCATGTATGCAGTTGCAGCACTTTAATATTTATAGTTACATAATTTCGCAAATAGCTTTTTCTAAAAAAAAAAGGTCCCTGAGACCAAACGGGGCCGAGTTGGTCCCTATTAACTTGTGTTGGTCCCTATCAACTTGTGATGGCCCAAGATATAAGATAACAGGAAAAGTGAAAAAAGGTAGCAAAAAACATCCTGAGAAGTGGACCTGGCTCCCGGCGTATTATATTATTATTATGTCATGTATGTTTTAGTATTATTAGTAATTTAAAAGAGAAAATGCAGTAGTCAATAACAGATATCAGTGTCTTAAATGTAGTCCTACAGACATATTTTGTTGCACAACCTTTTGAGGCAAACTCTGCAAACAAATGATTTCTGTAACTCTCAATGAGAATTCTGCTCTGGTCAACTGGTATTTTGACCGTTTTCTCGTGAGCAAACTGCTCTAGTTGTCTCAGGTTTGAAGGGTGCCTCCAGACAGCATCTTTCAGCTCCTTTCACAGATGTTCAAGAGAACTCAGATGTGAGCTCACAGAAGAACACTCCAGAACAGTCCAATGTTTTGTTCTTAGCCATTCTTGTGTGTTTTTAGATGTGTGTATTGGGTCATTATCCTGTTGGAAGTCCCATGACCTACAACCGAGACCAAGCTTTTTGACACTAAGTCAACACATTTTGGTCCAAAATACCTTGATAGTTTTGAGATTTCATTGTACCTTGCACAGATTCAAGACGCCCTGTGCCAGATGCAGCAAAACAGCCGCAGAACAAAACCAAGCCTCCTCCGTGCTTCACAGTAGAGACAGTGTTCTTTTCTTGGTCTGCTTCATTTTTGTCTCTGTGAACACAGAGAGCTCCAGTTTTGTCTCATCTGTCCAAAGAACATTCTCCCAGAAGCTTTGTGGTTTGTCAATATGCATTGTCACAAATTCCAGTTTCACTTTATGATTTACTTTCAACAATGGTGTCCTCACATGAAGTCACTTTGGCTCAAAGAGTGATGGATGGTGTGATCTGACACTGATGTTCCTCATCCTTCAATTTCACGTTTCATTTGTTTGGAGGTTGTTCCGTTCGTATGATTCATCTCTTCAGTTTGTCGTCAGTTTTCCTCTTGCGGTCACGTCTGGGAGGTTGGCTTCAGTCGTGTGGACCTTTAACTTCTGAAGAACATGTGTAACTGTAATCACAGGAACATCAAGCAGCTTGGAGATGGTCTTACTGTCTTTATCTTTAACCTGCTTGTCTATCATTTTATAGTCTCCTGACTAAGTTCTCTTCTTCTCTTTCTCTGGTCCATGTTCAGTGTTGTGTCCATCATGTCTCCAAACAGCACAATGACACATGTCGCCCTTTAAACAGACACACTGACTGAGGACAAGTCTGAAGAACCTGTGATGCAGATTAGAGACACACCCAAGTTTAACATGTCCCTGTTGTTCAGTTACTTACAAACTTTTCTAGGGGAACCATCATTTTTGTCCAGGCCAGTTTTTTTAGTTTGTTTTTTTAAATAATTCTGTGTCTGATTTTCATTGGTTATTTTTCAGGAATTTTTTATTTATTATTGCTTTTCTCAGTTTCAAGTTATTTCAGTGAAAATTGTTGCTTTTTCTTTCCTTACCAGAGGCGTACCGACAATTTTGTCCTCGACTGTCTCTACTTTTGATACAGTGGGTCTGTAGATTGGTAATACAGATCACAGAATTTATCTAATTTTAAATCAAATGTAACAGGTTTAATTCAAGTAAATGGGCCTAATATATTGGCTATATTATCATTTTATTATTTAAATAGGCCTATTAATTTCACAGACCAGAAAAGGATCTAGTTTGGAGAAGGACAGAGTGGCCTGGGCCCTGCTCTGCGTCACCACCAGAACACTACCCCTGACTGATTGATAGAATAGACACAGAAAGTTCAAAATTTTCAACTTCGGCGAATTTCACGTGCCCCTCCCTTCTGAGAATTCACGCGTCAATGCCAGATTCATACAATTGCGCTGCTCAATTTGCTTCATTCGCGCTGCAGAACTTTATTCGCACATCAACACGCCTTTACATAGGGTTAACATGTAAATCATTTGCCTTGTTCTCGCCAAACGCTTGCAGTGTGAGCACCTCTTCAGATGGACAGTAACAGAGTTCTTACTGTTCTGCAGGCGCTGGGCCAGCTGCTCCTGGTCCATCCTCTTCAGGAAGTCCAGGGTGATGTTCAGAACCTCTCTGCTGCTCTGCTCCTCCTCCTCACTCTCAGAGCATTCTGGGTAATCTGAGGCCAGGAGCCTGTGGAGCCTCTGCAGCTGCTCTTTGACAAAAGTCAGGACGTCCTCCTCCAGACGCTGGAACAGAACAATAAGAGAAGAGTTTTAGTCAAAGAGAGCACCTGAGGAGCACCCAGAGAACCCCACACATGCTGCGCTCGTGGGGTACTCACCCTGAATATGGCGTCCAGCTGCTCCTTTGGGCCTGGCTCCCTGTCAAACAATAAACTCATCATCATTTATTTATTCCAGACTCATGGTCCATAAAAGAACAGAATAAGACAGAGACAAGAGTAAAACAGGGTTATAAAAGACAGATCAGTGTTTCCATAAAGAGCAGTGTTACTGCACAGAACTAAACCTGACACTCACCAGCATCACCACCACAGAGTTCACAGACTCATTTAGGCCACAGATGGATTTATACACCAGGTTTGTAATGAGAGTCTGAAAAGTTCACTTGAGCCTGACAGAACAGGAGACTGGAACTACTGACCCTGGACTTTTTCAGCAGCATTCTGAGGACATCATTAGAAGATACTTTGAGCTTTTGCAGTGTGTCCTTCTTATATTTGCTCCACAGTGGGGCTGGACACAAGGATGTACAGGAGGTTCACACACAGTGACAGTGAACAGGAGAGTCTCACAGCTCTGAGCAGGGACCTGCTGCCTTCGGACACATTTAGACTCATCAGGTCTGATGGAGAATAAACTTGCACAGCCAAATGGATTCTCGTGATATTTGTGATTTCTCAAACTCACAAGAATCCACTTTGAGGCCAAAACATATGACAGATGTACTTCAGCCTTTTTTCGGGAAATATTTTATACGTGAAAAAGGTGTCGAGGGAAAAGCTTTGTGCATTTGCAGGGAAGATGTCTGTGCTTCTCTCTAAACTCTCTAAACTTAGTTTTACATAATGCTGTAAATAGCATTTCATTTTGAATTCATTGAAGCAAATACATGTAAAACTACAGTATAATAATGGATTTAGAACATTTTATGAGGCCTTATTTTATTTACAAACCACTTGATTCATTGTTCTGTGTTGTATGTGCAGACTGTTTTAGTGGTCTTGGGACTGATCTTGGAGTTGCATGTTGACATTGATGGCAATTCAAATCCAGTGAGAACTTTTGGAGCAGGATAAACCTGGAGCATTCTGGCCAGCTGCTCAGGTTTATGGAAAAGACCTTCAGACCTGATCACTTTCAATCAATCAATACACTTTGTTTCCAACAGATCATAATTTGGAAAAGACACTTTCAAACAATTCAAAATCTTGCACATCAGGACCATGCACTGAACAGTCCTAATTTGTATTTTTATGAACAGTAATTTCCTGAACAAAAACAAGTCTGACAATTCATTTGTTGCAATCAACACAAAAAATATCTTTCTTTATCCAAAGTCTAAATTCTGCTTTGGAATCCAAACATTTGGACAATTTGCAATAAAGTGAATCTTGATTTGATAAATTGTCATTTTCATTGTCATTCAGTCGTCATTTTTCAGAACTTCATATTTGTACAGATAAATGGAAACAACATCTAGACTGAATAACATGAGGAGACAGTCACACAGTAACAGTCCTTTTAGTCTCTGTTTATCAGTGTGAAAAGACCTGTTCAAATATCTCACCTCTGATCTTCAGGAGGAGCTTCTTTAAACTCTGGAGGAAGGTTTCTGGACTCATCACTTTTCAGAGACACAGAGCTGGGAGCAGGTTTAGGTCTGGTTTTGGACCCGGGGCCAGGTCCAGGTGAGTCCATGTTGTACCTGCTGGAATTAGAAGAAGAGTCCATTTGAACAGAACATACAGAGTTGTCTCCTGTTTATAAGTTCTGTTCTCCGGATGTGGAGTTTCACAGCTGCAGGGACAGGCTCTGGTGATCAGGAGGACTACACCAAAACTACTTACACTAATACTCTGGGATTTGAGTAAAATGTGAGCTTGAGTCACGCCGACAAAATCAGAGGGTGCCGTTTGCTCTCCTGCTTTTAGATCAGACAATGAGACGGTCTGAACAGAAGGCACAAAAGTAGCATCACATCTTCACTTTTTATTTAAATGAGTGTTTTCGAGAGGAAATCTGCTGCACACGGCGACGTAAAAGTGTGTGGAGTTGGATTGTGTTTGTTTGTACTTAAAGCAACAAGAGCGTCTTTGGACATACGGAAGTTTTCACGTCACACATTTTCATCAGCTCCTCCTTCCACAAAGTCGTCCCACCGTTGACTGCTTCTCCAGGTCTCATCCAGATCCGTCTGACTCGACTGAGACGACCTGGTGCGTCCAGAATCTGACAGAGGTGATTGCAGATCCTTCTCTGTTCACTAACAGTGTCTCTGCACATTCAACACGTTTGTTGTTTTGCCTCCTGTAAGTTTATTAGAGCTGGAAATGATCCACACAGTTTGTTTCTGTGTCCTGTTTGTGACGTAAACACTTACACGACCTGAGCACATCTGACCAGAGTTTTGCATCTTTGCAGTGTAAACGGAAACACTACGGTGGATCCTATTCAACTTTTCCACTCTGGAGACTGGTTTCAGCTTTTTGAAAATGCTGTCGCATCTAAAGAAAAGGCACATCCCATAAAATATTTTGTCTTTTTTACCTGCAAGTGTTCACGTGTAAACAGGACCTGACACTCACAGTACAGAGAACATCCACTGACACAGTGTGGTGCAGTTTGCAAATGTAATGAGAAAATAAGTTACTTACTGATTCTCTGGGGGTCAATGGCAATTCACATGTGTTTTTTAAAATTTTGTTTTATTCAAAAACACGCATGACTATTAATTATTATTTAATGAACAATAAGCACATCTGATAATAACGTCTTTTATACATTTTTCAGAACTGATGTCTTTACGCTTCATCTTTGTAAAGCTGAATTAATAGAGGAACTACTGTATTTCAGCTGAAAGTGTGCTGTCAGTGCTCGTCCACAGGGGGCAGTGTAGAGTCAGTGCAGTTCATGTGTTCTGCAGTAGTTTAAACTTATGTCTGTGTAAGTCTGACCCTCTGGAGCACATGACCAGGACAAAACAGGAAAGAAGATACAGAGTGAATAATGTGTTTGACTGAGGAGACAGTCACACAGTAACAGTCCTACTCACTTTAGTCTCTGTTTATCAGTGTGAAAAGACCTGTTCAAATGTCTCACCTCTGATCTTCAGGACGAGCTTCACTAAACTCTGGAGGATATTCTTTTGACCGGTCACTTTTCAGGGACACAGAGCTGGGAGCAGGTTTAGATCTGCATTGAGATCTGTGTTTATTTTTGGGTTTAGACCTGGGTCCAGGTCCAGGTGGGTCCATGTTGTAGGAGCTGGAATCAGAAGAAGAGTCCATTTGAACAGAACATACAGAGGTGTCTCCTGTTTAGAAGTTATGTTCGTCAAATGTGGAGTTCATGTGAAATGTGTCTCTGCTCTGCACCCTGAGGTTTGATTGTCTGTGTCTCCCTCTGCTGGACACATCACTACATCACCCTTAACTGGGCGTGACTGTGTAAATTTTCCACTTCGTCAGTAGTGTGGGTTTGGATTAGACGTGATTAAACCAGAACCATATACCAACAGAACTAAACCAGGACTAAACCTACAATAAGCAAACCAAAACCTTATCTTATCCAGCAAAACTGCCAGGTTTTATGCAGTTTGACAGTTTTGAAATTATGTTTTCTGGTTGGAAATGCGACATGTAAAGTTTATTGTAAGCAGCCACTCCATAAACAAGGATCAAAGTTCGTTAGATTTACGTAAATTATTGTCTTTCAATTATGGCATTTAACAAAAAAAATGTCCCTTGCTTGCAAATTGTCAGCTTTTAAGATTTTATTTTGTGTATTGTGTGTGCAGAGTGCAAGCTAACAATTGTTCCATTATTTTATATATTAAGCACAAGAAATACTCACTGTGTCAGCGTCGTCTCTGAACACGTCTGTTACTTTCACTTTCTACAGTCACCTGACGATCTGAACCACACCTGTGTGACTGAGGTGCAGTGTCACTGAGCTCCAGCAGAGGGCGCCATGTTATTGTCTGTGAATAGATGCAGCAGGAAGACAGAAGGTGCTTCCCTCTGGTAAAAGTATCTGTGATGAAACTAACAAAAAGTTAAATTAAAGAAAATTGAAATGAACTGAATTTAGGCCATAGAACTTGTCAAAGGCCAATCTCCTCAGATCTCCAAACCTAAGACCACAGACAGACCAGGTGCCACTGAGGGACCTGTGACAAAAACACTGTTATGTCCTTTGGCAAGACACTTCACTCACATTATCTAGTATGAATGTGGTGTGTGTGTGTGAAGTGTTGGTGTTGGTCGGAGGGGCTGATGGTGCAGTTTAGTAGCTTCACTTCAGTCTGAGTGTGGAGTGAATGAAGAATACTCTTGTTGAATGTTCCACAATGCTCCACAGTAAAGCTCGTCTCCATGGGAACATCACCAGACTAATTTTGTGTCTATGCCACTGGGGGCAATAACATCTCTGTAGTGGAACAAACAGAAAGGCAGAGACAAAGGTGTAAAAATAAGTTAAAATTTAGTCAACAGAAATTTAATTTAACAAAAGCTCAAATTAGGGAAATAATTGTTTACAAAAATCGAGGCCAAATGAGGAAACTTAACCAAATTGAACAGAACAAAACAAACCCACCAGACAAAGAAACAGGAGAGTTTAAATAGTGGAGGACTGACTGAAACTGGACACAAGAGAGAGAAATTACACTAAAGGATCAACTAAAACTACAAACTTACAATAAAGCAAATCATTATAATAAACTAGGGAAACTAACATAGCAAAAACTAAACTAAATAGTGCTCCCCCTCTTGGTTTGGAGAAGGTCTGTGCCAAAGGGTGACAACTCAAACAAAAAAACAAGTGTAAGTAAATATTTCAGACTTATATGAACTAAAATGTGTGCACCCAAATTAGAATAAAAACACGTCTATATAAAAGAATTAAATCCAACAATTTTAACTATTTGTATTGTAACCGATTTAATGAAAATGTAAAATGTTAATGAAATGAAATAATACTAACATGGTGGAGTAGCGGCAGAAGTTTCCACCACCATCTCCACAAAGACAAGCCGTGGACTCTCCAAAAACGTACGTTACATTAAATTCTCCATGTTTTACAAGCTATTTACGACTTTATCCCATCATCGTATTAAAGGAACTGCACTTCACAGGCAGAAATTTCAGTTTGAAAACATTAGTGATGAGATGGAGAGATGGAGGTCTCAGAAACTATGTTTTTAGGTTCTTTTTTTCAGACCTGGAGTGTTATTTCATACCTGACAGTTTGGACTGTTCACTAGCGTCTTCCTCAGAGTCACGTGATGTTGTTGTGACGTGTCTGGTCAGCTGATTTAAACAGGTTTTGGCGCTGTCTTTCTACCGGTGGAGGCAGGACGACAGCGCCACCTGCAGTCCCACTTCCTCAGGACAGTTACTCGTCCCCCCGAAAGACAAAATAGAACCGGAGCATAAATGTAATGTCATATACAAAATCCCCTACATGTCCTGCAATAAAACACACATCGGGGAAACAGGGAGGGCGTTCAGTCCACGAAAAAAGGAACATAGAACAGAATGTGAGAAGGAAACAGCGAAGGCGAAACATGAGCTACAAAACACAAAGCAGAACAGGAACAACTCAAATCGGGCGTTTCTGACCATTGTAAAAGAGAGAACCACGTTATGGACTGGGACGGAGCAAACATCATCAGGACAGAGGAAAACAAACATCGCCGCTGGATTAAAGAAGCAATCGAAATACGGAAACGTGCCCACAGGACTGTAAACTGGGACGAGGGGCTTTTTTACTCTCACACACCTGGGATACTGTCCGTTCACACCTGGCTGTTGAGTTCCTGGTTCTTCTGCAGCGTCCTCCTGGAGTTGTTTAGTTTCATTCACATGTTTCAGTTAATCCTGCACATTTAGACTGTCAGAGCTCACAACACTCACACCTGGACTGTTGGCGCCATCTGGTGGTTGGAGAATGAACTGAACTGACTTTTTCTTTTTTTCTAAGTGGGACTAAAACACCTGAACTTAAATAGAGCAGGTGAACTGGGCAGTACCTGGAGGACTAAAGGGGAGAGTGAGGAGGAGGAGGAGGAGGGGCGGGGTCTGGGTGTATAAGGAACAGTGTGATTGGTCGAACAGGTTTCCACACTTCAGACTCCGCCCCTGCAGCCGTCTGTGTTTTTCTTTTCTTTTTTTGTAATAGAATTATTAAGAATATCCTCTTGTTTTAATAAACCTTCAGGCATTTTTATTCATTATTGTTCCAAGATTTCCATATTTCTTATTTTCTTAGTTTGAAACAGTTTTTTTTAAAGAGAAATATTTTACTAACTTCAAATCATGTCAAATTTCTGTTCATTTTATATTTCACTTTTATCTTTGACCTTTTTATATATTTCAGCATTTTTGTTCATTGTTCTGTCATTTTTAAAGTCACGTGGAGTGGGACAGATTCATGTGTTTATTTTTTAATTTACATTTATACTGATTTAGGAAAGATTGATGGAAATAATATTTATGTCATAAAAGAGTCAAAGAGGTCCAGCAGGGGGCGCTCTCCTCAGATCCACCACAGACACAGAGGAATGTTCATCCAACAGTCCAAACCCAGGAAACAGAGGCTCAGTGAAGGAGGAGCTGGAGGTGTGGAGGTGGAACAGTTTTCCATCAGAGAGAACCTTATAGAAGGACAGAGATCCAGCCTCAGAGTCCAGGAACACAGACACTCGATCTGAGGGACCAGAGGAGGAGTAAAGGGCTGTATGTCTGTTGTTGTGATAGAAATGGTAATATCCATATTCGACCCTCAGACTCCAGGACTGATCATTGCCTCCAAACCTACACTCCTCTCTCTTTCCTCTCCGTCTGATTCCTCTGTAACTCACTGCTATTTCAATGTCCCACCCGCTCCACTGAACCTCCCAGTAACAGCGCCCCCTCAGGCCAGTGCAGCTCAGGACCTGACGGCAGTCTGTAAATCTGTCCTCATGATCTGGATACTGCTGCTCCTCTGTCACAAAGGTCACTGTCCGTTTGTCCTCAGACAGTTTGATGTTTCTGTGAGCTGTGTTTGGATCCAGAGAAAACTCACAGGAATCTGAGGACACAAACACATGACATCACTTCCTGTTCCTGAGAATCTGAAAAGTTTTTCTATTTAATTTATATTTTAAATGTGTAAATGTCTCTAGACATATTTTTAGCTCAAATCACATGAATGTTTCCTCTGTAACTGTGAAGATTTAAAGTCTGATAAAGTGACATAATGTTAATGTTCCCATGAACTGAATGAAATACAGAGACTCACACTTCCTCAGACCTGGGACCATCCACTGTTCTCCAGCAGGATCCAACCTGAAACACACAAGTCCAGTTTAGACCAGACCAGAGACCAGGATCTGGACCGACCATGGACCAGAGACCCACTGAACCAGGACCCTCACCTGAGAGACTGCAGGGGGCAGTGGGGGTCGTCCCGTAGAGCGGTCAGGAGCTCTGCTGAGGGTCCTGGATGGTTGTAGCTGAGGTCTAACTCTCTCAGGTGGGAGGAGGCGGAGCTCAGAGCTGAGGCCAGAGCAGCCCCGCCCCTCTCTGAGACCAGACATCCAGACAGCCTAAAGACACAGAATTACACTCATGTGGACACAAGGGGGCAGAGTGCATCATGGGAGCGTCTCACCTGAGAGTCTCCAGTCTGCAGGGGGCGCTCTTCAGTCCAGAACACAGCAGCTCCACTCCTGAGTCCTGGAGGTCGTTGTTAGTGAGATCCAGATGTGTGAGACTGGAGGAGCTGAGGACTGAGGCCAGAGGAGCACAGCTGTGAGGAGACAGACCACAGCCACAAAGACTGAGGACAGAGAGGGACATTAGAGACTAGAACCTCCACACAAGAGTTTAAATACAGTCTGGACTCACAGGACTTTGGTGGAGGCTCTGACCACCGGCAGCAGATTCAGGAGAGCTGTCTCTGAGCCCTGGTATTTCCTCAGATCAAACTCCTCCAGGTCTGAGTCTGAGGACAGTAAGAGGAAGGACAAAGCCGACCACAGAGCAGGAGACCTTAAAAAGGAGAATTGTCCTCTTGTCATGTACCACTGTATCTGCTTCACCAGACTTTGGTCGTTCAGTTCGTTCAGACAGTGGAGCAGGTTCAGACTTCTCTCTGCAGACAGACCCTTTTCATCCAGCTTCTCTTTGATGTACTTTACTGTCTCCTGATTGGTCTCTTCACTTCCTGTGTGAGTCAGCAAACCCTGCAGCAGCCTCTGATTGGTCGGCAGAGACAGTCCCAGGAGGAAGCGCAGGAACAGGTCCAGGTGTCCGTTTGGACTCTGTAAGGCCTGGTCCACAGCAGAGCAGTAGAAGGCTGCCACAGACTCAGGACTTTCAGAGGAATTGTCCTCTGAAGCTGAATAGTACTCATCCGTGTCAGACTCAGGATTCTCAGAGGAGTGTGGTGTCTTCAGCAGGTTGTCCCCACAGTTGATGAAGGTCTGATGGACGTGAAGAGCAGCCAGAAACTCCTGCACACTCAGATGGATGAAGCAGTAGACCTTGTCCTGGTACAGGCCTGGCTCCTCTCTAAAGATCTGTGTGAACACTCCGGAGTACACTGAGGCCGCTGCAGCGTCCAGCCCACACTCGCTCAGGTCACTCTCGTAGAAGATCAGGTTTCCTTTCTGCAGCTGCTCAAAGGCCAGTTTTCCCAGAGACTTCACCATCTCCCTGGTCTCTGGAGTCCAGTGAAGGTCCTCCCCTGATCCCTGGTGATACTTGATGTTCTGGACTTTGGCCTGCACCACCAGGAAGTGGACGTACATCTGTGTGAGAGTCTGGGGCAGCTCTGGTTCTGTTTGTTCCAGAAGTTTCTGTAGAACTGTGGAGAGGATCCAGCAGAAGATCGGCATGTGGCTCATGATGTGGAGGCTGCGGATGCTCTTGATGTGGGAGATGACGGCTGTGGCCTGGTCTCTGAACCTCTTCCTGAAGTACTGCTCCTTCTGTGGGTCGGTGAACCCTCTGACCTCTGTCACCATGGAGACGCACTCAGCAGGGATCTGATTGGCCGCGGCGGGGCGCGTGGTTATCCAGAGGAGAGCGGAGGGAAGCAGGCTCCCCCTGATGAGGTTCACCAGCAGCACGTGCACTGAGGTGGACTCTGTGGGGTCGGTCAGGACTCGGGTTCGACTGAAGTCCAGAGGAAGTCTGCACTCGTCCAGACCGTCAAAGATGAAGAGCACCTGGAGCTGTTGGAAGCTGCAGAGATGTTTGGATGGACTGAAGAAGTGGTGCAGCAGCTCCACCAGGCTGAACTGTGTGTCTCTGAGCACATTGAGCTCTCTGAAAGTGAACGGGAACAGCAGCTGGAGGTCCTGGTGGGCCCGGCCTTCAGCCCAGTCCAGACTGAACTTCTGAGTCAGCACTGTTTTCCCCACACCGGCCACGCCCTTCGTCAGCACCAATCTGATTGGCTCTGGTGAATGTGGGCGGGGTTTAAAGAGCTCTTCACATGTGATGGTCTCTGGAGCGGCCGGTCTCCAGGACGCCATCTCCATGAGTCTGACCTCATGTTCCTGGTTGACCTCTGAGGCTCCGCCCTCTGTGATGTAGAGCTCTGTGTAGATCTGGGTCAGGGGGGCGGAGTCTCCTGCTTTAGCCACGCCCTCAAACACACGACTGAACCTCTGCTGCAGATCAGACTTCAGTTTATCTCTACAAACTCCAACAGTGTTTCCTGAATAAAGACACAAAAACCATAGAACTCAACTTCTTCTGAACTATAGTTTGATATAGAAAATTACCTAGTTTTAATTACCAAGTTAAAGATGCAGAATGTGGCATTTTTGGTGGAGTGCCTGTACCCTGCTTTTTTCATGAAGATGCAATTTTTCTTGAAATGTTCCACAGTATGGGCCAATCTTGCCCCCATTTTATCACTAGCATAAGTGTGGGGCGTGGAGCTGTAAACAAGAGGTGTGCTGTGCCTGAATATCAGGTCATTCTAAAGTGACTATTCCTTTCATTAAGCCTTTTTAAATTACTATTGCAGTTTAAATGTGTACATTATAACATAATGATCCACGGGTCTTGTAGAATATAACTATATAGCAGGCTCAAGCACAATATGTGACCTTTAGATTAATCAGATTATATCCAGCATCTGTTCCTCAGGTGGATAAAACTCCCTCCTAATGTACGGGTCATAGTACTTTCTGTGAGCCTCAAACACCTGTAGACTTTTGTTACTGTGAAGTCAAGTCTGGTGTGGTCTGTTCCTCAGATGGACAGTAACAGAGTTCTTACTGTTCTGCAGGCGCTGGGCCAGCTGCTCCTGGTCCATCCTCCTCAGGAAGTCCAGGGTGATGTTCAGAACCTCTCTGCTGCTCTGCTCCTCCTCCTCACTCTCAGAGCATTCTGGGTAATCTGAGGCCAGGAGCCTGTGGAGCCTCTGCAGCTGCTCTTTGACAAAAGTCAGGACGTCCTCCTCCAGACGCTGGAACAGAACAATAAGAGAAGAGTTTTAGTCAAAGAGAGCACCTGAGGAGCACCCAGAGAACCCCACACATGCTGCGCTCGTGGGGTACTCACCCTGAATATGGCGTCCAGCTGCTCCTTTGGGCCTGGCTCCCTGTCAAACAATAAACTCATCATCATTTATTTATTCCAGACTCATGGTCCATAAAAGAACAGAATAAGACAGAGACAAGAGTAAAACAGGGTTATAAAAGACAGATCAGTGTTTCCATAAAGAGCAGTGTTACTGCACAGAACTAAACCTGACACTCACCAGCATCACCACCACAGAGTTCACAGAGTCATTTAGGCCACAGATGGATTTATACACCAGGTTTGTCATGAGAACCTGAAAAGTTCACATAAGCCTGACAGAACAGGAGACTGGAACTACTGACCCTGGACTTTTTTCAGCAGCATTCTGAGGACATCATTAGAAGATACTTTGAGCTT